TGGCCACCCAATATTCTGCCATCAGCATTTTAACTTGTAAAAGAATCATCAGATTATAAATTAGTTAACTCATACTAACCACTAACATCCTAATACAGTACTATTAAAATATGTTGATAATATAAAATTTTATTAAAAGATTTTTTACCTATCTAATCCTATGGTCTTTAAAACAGAATCCACTCCTAATCCCTGTCATGGACTTCAAGAAATTACTTCCAGACATAAACTCTATCTAACAAGCTCTTCACAATTTTTACGACATTAAGTGTATTTATTAGCATTATGTATATGTGCATTATGTCAAGATATGTATCTGTATACATATACATATTGAATTCAGTTAAGCTTCAATTTGTCCTAACTTGATTTGTAAATTTATTTTCCCAATTTAAAATATTATTCAGTCTGTTTAGCACAAAGGTGGTCTCCCCGCTGCAAATCCAGTTTCTACACTTCAGTCCCAATCAGACATCTTTTAACCATGTTCTCTAATTCTTGTATATCTCAGATTAGCACTCATTCCATCTCTTAAAGGGCCGCATTACTTTCTATGAGCATATTAGTCATAACCCAATTTTTTGTTTTAGCAAAAAAAAAAAAAAAGATCACACAATTCCTTCCCCTGTTAAGGTATTTTCAGATGTGTCATGTAGGTATGCTTCTGTTTAAACTATTCTTTCTTGTCTCAGTGATGCTTAGAAAATTCAGTTTAGTTACTGACTTAGACAAGTGACTCAGTGACACATAGGTAAGGGGAGGGAGGAAGCAGCATTAACTAGCTCCATAAACCACTAAAAATCTGTACAACTAGTGTCACACCTTTGAATTAGAGTCAAAATCAAGTTAGGAGGTAGTGCATATAGCAGGTAAAAAGATACTGGCACTGCTTTGGTGATGCCTGCCATGGGGTCACATCTGTAACACCAAATTCCTGTATTTACTTATTAAGGTACTACACTTAAAAAAATGACAGAGCTTCCCTGGTGGTCCAGTGGTTAAGAATCCACCTGCCAGTGCAGGGACACCAGTTCAATCCCTGGTCCAGGAAGATTCCTCATGCTGCAAGGCAATGAAGCCCCCTTGCCACAACTACTGAAGTCTGAACACCTAGGGCCCGTGCTCCACAAGAGAAGCCACTGCAATGAGAAGCCTACTCGAAGGTAGCCCCCACTCACTGCAACTAGAAAACTAGCAGTGAAGACCCAGGGCAAACAAAAAGTTAAATAAATAAATAATTTTTTAAAAAACTTTATTATTTTTAAAAATAATGATGATGATAAATCAACAGAAAAACAAGCAAAGACCAAGACCTCCTGAAACAAAATGCTGCAGGTACAGTAGTAAAAAGTCCTGAGAGCCCCAGATGAAATGTGACTTTCTGAGGAAAGTGGATAATTTTTACTTGATGGTGAATCGTTAAAAGTGAACCAGATGATTAAACTTAATGGAACAGCCACATTAAACTGAAATTAGTAAAAAACATGCCTCAGGCAGCCTACAACCTTTTATTTGTTGTTGTTTAACTTCTGCCTTTTACAGTGGCCATGATGAATGACATCACAAAAGAAAAAAATCCAATTAAATTCTAAGAGCTCAATAAACCCCTAATGTCTGCTTGTCACCACCACTTTCACTTGCACTGATGTCTTATGTTTCCTCTTCTCCCCAAGAAGAGAAAAAAAGAACTGGCCCCAGGGGGGTTCAACAGAAGCAGAGCTGAGTAAAGAAAGAGCACACTAAAGCTTCCGGAAGTTTCTATTCTGTGCACTTCATAAGATGCAGACACTGCTGGAAGGAGGGTGAAGTTAAATTGTTTTATTATCATATGATGCCTTTGTGAAGGGTGCATTTTCCCACTAGTTTTCAAATGTTAATAAATCAGAAGTGGAATCTGCCGAGCAATCCCTGTTCACACTCTTAGTTGGCATCTCCGCTGCCCTTTTATAGTGTCCTGGTGTTTGTTCTATAAGTTATCAAAATGGTGTCTCCTGACAGCTAAAAATAAGTTTCTGATTACTTTTACCTGAATAAATCTTGTGACCAGATATGGTATTCACCTACTAAGTGCACAGCGATTACATATTGAAAGTGATGAAAGAACCAGTCGAGGGGAGTCTATAATCTAGCAGAATGCAGAATATAATAAATCATATGGAAAGATAACAGTTGCCACTTGGTAGAAGAATACTGGCTTTTGATAACAGATTTTACCTGAGCGATACCGTATGTTTATTAAATGGGGTTTTCAAAGTCCTCAGAAAAAGTTCTCAAAGTCAAAATAAAAGCAAAAACCTGTTTATTATTAACTAAGAGCTAATAATAGTAACAGTGTCTTAAATTTGGAAGACACTTTATAAACACATGTTTTTATCCCATGTTTATGTAGGAATTAACATAGTATTTGTATATAGTCTCTAAATAGTGCTTCATGGCAGCCTTGTCCTGTAGCTCCATTATCTTCATTTTCTGATGAGGATCCTGGTGCTGGGAGGTTAACTGACTCTTGTATGATCTCACATTTGGTGAGTGAGAGGATGAGCAAGAGCCACACACAGTTCTCCTGGTATGGTGCTCCCTGCACTGTGCCAGGCTGCTGACCATGGCTGCCCCAGAGCCAGATCCAGTGGGCAATGACATTGGTTTCGTTACTCATGAGATAATGAAATAGCTTTTTAAGAGCTCTCTTCAGTCATTAGAATTTGACGATGGAGAGTTAAAACTTTCCCCAGTGGCTCTTTCTGTGTAATCAGGGTTTCAACGTTTTCTTAGCATATCACATTACACAAATCATGGTGTTCACTTGTTTTACATTTCTTATTGCGTTTGTCTCACTTCTAAGCAATTTCCTCCCCATTCGCATTTATCTTGCATTATTTCTGTCAAATTGCTTTCAAGGCTACAAATTGCATGAATAATATTCTCTTCCTCAAACTTTGCTGTTAACTAGCAGTAGCTGTGTGGTGTTGGACACAGTTTATCTCTCAAAATGAGGTGGTTGCACAGAATAATCTATAAGTCTCTTCTTGCACTCAAAGTCTAATCTGACTCTCACACGATCTGTGTGATTTGGGAAACTCTATGTGCTCTAGAGCCTCAGTTTCTTGACTCTGCAATGATGCATTAAATTAGCTCATGTTTCCCAAAATTAGTTTCTTAGAAATCTGTTTTGGGGAACATCAGTATGGATCACACCCAAAAAGGATTCATAAGCAAAGAAAGTTCAGGAAAACCAGGTCAAATAATGTTTAGTACAGTTTGGGACTGTAGGTACTTATAGCCTTTCTTAAGTTAATGGGCAGTGGGAGATTCTAAGGAAGAAGCAGAATATGAAGTATTTCCCAAAATTATTGGGCCACAGAACCTTTTTTTCTCAGCATTTTGTATAAATGATTTTCCATGGGACATACTTATATAAAGTCTGGGTTGCATGTTTTTAAGTCCCCCTTTTGCCCTGAGATTCTATTTTCAAATATGTTTGTAGAAGTTACTCTGAATATTCCATGCAGTGTTAATCAAGAGAACACAGAGTTGGTTTGCTTGTTGCTGTTGTTGCCATTACTATTGTAACATAGCTGATGCTCCACTTAGATGGAGTTGAAATAAGGTAGAGATTGTTACCAAACAGAATTTGGGTCTGCTCAACTGCTGAACGGCAAAGCCAGTCTACTGACTCCAGGTTGTAATGAAGGAAAGTACAGCGTGTATTGTAGGCACCAAGCAAGGAGAGTGGGTAGCTCATGCTCAAAAGACCCAGACTCCCTGATAGCTTTTAGGAAGGGGTTTTTAAAGGCAACATTTGGCATGAGAATTGCTGCTTATGGACCTTCTTCTGACTGGCTGATGGTAAGGTAACAGGGTAATGTTTCAGGAATCATAATCATCAACCTTCTGGTTTCAAACAATCTGGGGTCTACATGCTTGTGGTAGCATGTAAATCACCATCCTCCACCTTGTGTGGGGGGCTTAGTTTCTGCAGAACTCAAAATATTTGTCAGATTGTTATGTATATCTCTTAGGACTGTGTACAACTATCTTATACACAGAGTGATAAGACTATCTTATCACTGAATGATTTGCTTTTCCTTTGTTTGTGCATTCCCTCACTTCCCTAATTAGTAACTGCTTGAGTCTACTCTTTGGAACTCAGGCAAGGCCCAGGAGACTAAAGCCTTTTTCTACAAACAAGAAAGAACAAACACAGAAGGGCTTTTATACCCAGGAGGACCTCACAGGGTCCTCACAGGTTTCAGGATTAGCAGCCTTCCTATGAACGCTAACCTTTCTGTATGTATACTTACAACTGAGGTCTGAAAAAAGTTCTTGATAAAAAGCACTTTTTGAAAAAATTTGTGAATAGCCTTAGATTATCAGAAGACCTGTGAGATACTGCCCAAAGTCTTGCTGAGGTGGGAAAAAGGGAACTAAAGAAACAGCAGGGAAGTCAATACAGTGGAAATGAAATTCAGAATAAGTAACATGGGCTACATTTTCAAGTTAAAATCATCCTCTTCCCTTTAGTTGTGTCTTTATGTTCATTAGCTCAACCCTTTACCCAGGCCCACATCACTGGCTGTTTCTCTTATCAGAGCTTCTGCTTGATTGCCTTCAGGAGCAGAGAACCCACTACTTCATAAGGCAGATTACTCAATTTTAGGCCGACTCTAATTTTTAGAAGGTCCTTTCCCATACTAAACTAAAATACACTGAAGTGTCCTTGGGCATTTTTCTATTGTTCTGGCCTGTATTTTTTTGATTCTTCAAAATGAAGATTACTAAACTTTACACGAATTCCAGTTCTGGAAATTTCTGTGATTATAAGGAAACATGCTCAATAACAAATGGCATTTACTATTGAGGATTTCAATAAACAGTAAAAGAAAAAACATCTGCAACCCTTAGAAAGACTTGAATGAAAGTTAACATTGCATCATAAAGACAAACAGTTTAGGATCATATGCTTGACTTTTACTTTCTTTAATTTTTTTTTTCTACACTAGTTACATTCAGACCAGGATAGAGGAGATGGATCACTTAAATATATCCTTTCAGGAGATGGAGCAGGAGATCTCTTCATTATCAATGAAAACACAGGGGACATACAGGCCACAAAGAGGCTGGACAGGGAAGAAAAACCTGTTTACATACTTCGAGCTCAGGCTATAAACAGAAAAACAGGGAGACCCGTGGAGCCCGAGTCTGAATTCATCATCAAGATCCATGACATCAATGACAATGAACCAATATTCACCAAGGAGGTTTACACGGCCACTGTTCCCGAAATGTCTGATGTCGGTAAGTGAGATGTGATTCAATTGTTTCCTATAGTAGTACATCAGCTGAATCAGGAATCCTATGAGTGAAATTTGCTGAAGTTGGCTGCTACATTCTAGATGCACTGTGTTTCAAACAATCCATTTAGGTCCTTTTTGGAAGTGGACCAGTGTCTCCTGAGATTAGTCTTATTATTTTTAAGAAAACATTTCCTCTAGTGATTAGGGAATGAAAAGTGGCAGAGTGAGAAGGGCAGGGAGGAGAGATCATTTCATCTGTTTCCTCTCCCACTTTAAATGTCCACTTTATTTCTTGATAGTCCTCTCTATTTCTTTTAGCCCATAGTAGAATTGGGCATTAGGTAAGGATCTCCCCAGTGGAAAACAAAAGCCCTGAGTTTACAGTTCAGACTGAAGAGTAATTATATTTGAGAAAGAGACTCAAAGAAAACTTTTTTAAAAATCCATCAAAAATATGCAGATGATGTCTATGGGATATATTCTTTACTAAGTGGTGAAAATTAAGACTTTCATGACATTAATATGGTTAGTTAATACTCTGTGCAGAATTCTACTACCAATTTTAATGTGTGCATTTAGTTTACTTAGAGTGGGAAAATGTGAATTTTTCTTAAATTAAGAAAAAAATCCTACTGACATCATTGTTAACCACATTAAAACACTTCAGGAGAGACAGTGACAAATTTTCAACTACTTGTGCAAAGGGTTATTTAAAGTTTCACTCAGTGTCAAGTTCAAAAGGGCTAGATTACATAATAAAAACATTTCCATCATTCTGTGAGTCAGATATCAAGGATATTTCAGTTCACAGTTCCAAGACTTGAACAATAGCTAATCTACAGAAATGATTATAAAACATCCAAATTTTTCTCATGAAGAAGTTGCTCATCTCATTACTTGAAGTCACTTTATTTTGTTAGAAAAATCACAAATCATCACCAAAGTGGAGGATGAGAATTCTTTTAAACAGAAGATTTGTTAGGAAAAAAATATTTTTCCTCTGTGTGGTAAAGGGCAAAAAGAATTAATGAAAGACTGATCATCAGCACCATGCAGAGCAGCTATATAGCCAGATGTGAAAAATGTGACTGTACAATATAAGGGGCACCATTTGCTTCTTAAGCCATTATAGAGTTAAATATGCTTTATAAGTATTTGGGGGATACCTGGCAATAACAGGTCTTGAGGAAAAGAAGGCTTTGTCCAATTTGCACACAGGCACAGTTATGTTGATATTAATCATTATCATAAATTAACATGTCATTATTGTGATAATAAAGGGATTCTAAAGGAATCACATAAAGGTAGTGGGGCAGCAACAAGGTGGTATAAATGGACTTTGGTATCAAATAGACCAGAGTTTGAAACTATCACTACTAATAAGCAACTATGTGGCCTTAGGTGAATAAACAACTTGATGTCTCTGACCCTCCAGTTTCATATCTATAAAAAAGAAATAATAAACATCAACTCCTAAATCCCTATCATAAGAATGAAAGGAAAAAACAAGTGCACAACCCCAAGTACCACACCAGCAACTAATAGGCATTCAAAATATCCAGATAATCATATTCTAAAAGCAATCAAATTTTGCATTGATGTCAAGTAAGAACATAGGTGTTTGTTGACTTCTACTATTAATTCTCACTCTAAAATCTTATGCTTTCTGGGCTTCTCTGGTGGCTCAGTGGTAAAGAATCTGCCTGACAATGCAAGACACACAAGTTCGATCCCTTACCCAGGAAGATCCCACATGCCAGAAAAAATAAATAAATAAATAAAATCTTATGCTTTCATTCTTCTCATTCCTTGCTAAATTACAAGGATGGATGCTCTATCGCAGGCATCAACATGCCCCATCCAAGAGTATGCCACCCTAAGAGAGTATAGTGTATTATTAGTTCAATAAATAAAATTGGTTAGATATTATAAAAGCAAGGTGAAAATTCCAGTATTCCTTAACTATGACTTCCCTACCCTGTTCATGGACAGTAGAATTCTATGAGTATGTTTACTCTGTCTAATATGAATACCAAAATTTATCCATAAAATGATCTTAATCAGAGGGTCTTACCTTTTTAGGAAGTCACAGACCCCTTTCAGAATCAGATAAAATCTATGACACTTCTCTACTGTGTCATATCCATTTAGGCATACACATAAAAATTTGCATGGAATTTCATGAGGATTAGGGGTACTTTGAATGGTATTATTAACTAAGGTCTCTAAAATAAGAATGCCAATCTGAAACAACATAGCTTTCTTTGTACATTTAATTATAATCATCTTTGGGGATTATAAATTCCAGATGTGTATTCTCCACTATTCCAGTTAATTCTTTACTTAATCCAAAACTACTTCTCTTAAGGTTCAAGACAAGGTCTTTCAACCTCTTAGAATTATCAGATAGATTTATCACCTAGGATGCTTTTATTTATAAGTAACAGAAAACCCAATTCAAATTACTTTAAACAATGAAAGTGTTTAGTGGTCACATTAAGTGTAAAAGCAAAGTGGACTTTGAACATAGTTTGATTTGGATTCTAGCTATTTCTCTGTCTATTCAGCTTTATCCTCGGACTAGCATTGCCAAGATCACAAAATAGCTGCTGCATTTTCAGGCTCCACATCAGCACGTTACATTCAGGGAGCAAAAGCACCTATGACACAACAAACTTTCAGCAAAATCACAAATGGCGCTCCAACTGAACAATACCTAAACTAATCCTTGTAGAAAAAGTAGTACAAGATGCCAATATATTTAGGCCTAGACAACTTGAAAGAATCACTGTAGCAAAAACCCAATCAAATCTCACCCTTGGAGATGGATTGGAATCAGTTCCACCCAAAGTCATGATCATTCCCATGCTCCCCTTTAATTTAATCCTTGTTGTTTTTAGTCACTAATGGGAAGTGAATGTCACTCAATCGTGTCTGACTCTTTGCGACCTCATGGACTGTAACCCACCAGGCTCCTCTGTTCATGGGGATTCTCCAGGCCAGAATACAGCAGATGGGTAGCCATTCCCTTCTCCAGGGGATCTTCCCAACCCAGGGATCAAACCGAGGTCTCCTGCATTGCAAGCAGATTCTTTAGCAGCTGAGCGACCATATCCAGTTCTTTTGCAGTCCCATGAACTGTAGCCTGCCATTCTGTCCATGGGATTTCCTAGGCAAGAATACTGGAGTGGGTTGCCATTTCCTTCTCCAGGGAATGATCCCAACCCAGATATCGAACTATGTTTCCTGAATTGAAGGTGGATTCTTTACCACTGAGTCACCTGGGAAGCCCAATTTAATCCTTTCAATATTTATGAATGTTGCTCACATTCCTTCAGAATAAGAAATCCAAGGCTTTTTAGCCTAGATTCCTACTGTGGTTCTCCACTCCCTTGACGTGATAGTTTTGTATAGAAGTATGATTGTGCTTTTTCCTAATGTGTGGGTATCAAGGATCCATAATGAACCCTTAATTTATTTTCAATTCATGTTTCTTTCATTACAGGCACATTTGTTGTCCAAGTCACTGCAACTGATGCTGATGATCCAACCTACGGGAACAGTGCTAAAGTTGTCTATAGCATCCTACAGGGGCAGCCCTATTTTTCAGTGGAATCAGAAACAGGTTAGAATTCCTCTTGCATCTTCTTTTTAAGATCTGTAATTTTAATTGACATGCTCAGCTGAGCTAGCATATTTTTACTAAAAACAATCAGTGTGATTGAATTTTCTTAGATTCATCTCCAAGCACCAGTGACATATTTGTAAACATGACATCCAGATCATTTTAATCAAGAAATCTGACAATGGATCTTTCATCTACTGTGTTTATACAAGGGAGATTTGGAAAAATTACACATTGCCTTATTATTTCTTCCAGTTTGAGGTAAAACTAAAAGGCCAACCCCTTTTGATAACCAGGAGGGTTCTTTACACATTTTCTGATTCTTCTTTTTCTAGTCACTTAGTAGGATTGCATCTCTCTACCTTACTGGAAAGCTAGATATAGCCATGTGATTTATTTGGGGCAATGAAATGTGGTAGTCATATGAGTCATTTCCAAGCAAAACTTTTAGACCTGGTGCATAATCCCCCATTTTCCCTCCCACTTGCCACAGTGATCACGGATGGAAATCAGTATCGAGTGAGTATTCAGCCTGAATGTCTAAAGGTGGTCATGAGCAGATTTTCTTTCTGGCCTACCCTGAACACTTTAGTTTTGTTAAGCCACTGAGATTTTACTTTGTTGGTTGTAGCATTGTCTAGCTTATCTTAACTGATACCACCTTAAAAAAAAAAAATGGATTTTCTTAACTCTTTTTTCCACATCTCAGTTTTCTGCACTGTCTCCACCAAGTAGCATACTATCTATGATGAATTGTGTTTTAATATATACCACTTGTATTGTATTATAACTTTGCCTCAAAACTCAGCATTCAGAAAACTAAGATCATGGCATCCAGTCCTGTCACTTCATGGCAAATAGATGGGAAAATAATAGAAACAGTGACAGACTTTATTTTCTTGGGCTCCAAAATCACTGTAGATGGTGACTGCAGCCATGAAATTAAAAGATGCTTGCTCCTTGGAAGAAAATCTATGACCAACCTAGACAGCATATTAAAAATCAGAGACATTACTTTGCCAACAAAGGTCCATCTAGTAAAAGCTATGGTTTTTCCAGTAGTCGTGTATGGATGTGAGAGTTGGACTGTGACAAAAGCTGAGTGCTGAAGAATTGATGCTTTTGAACTGTGGTGTTGGAGAAGACTCTTGAGAGTCTCTTGGACTGCAAGGAGATCCAACCAGTCCATCCTAAAGGAAATCAGTCCTGAATATTCATTGAAAAGACTGATGATAAAGCTGAAGCTCCAATACTTTGGCCACTTGATGTGAAGAACTGACTCATTTGAAAAGACCCTGATTCTGGGAAAGATTTAAGGTGGGAGGAGAAGGGGATGACCAAGGACGAGATGGTTGGATGGCATCACTGACTCGATGGACATGAGTTTGAGTTATCTCCAGGAGTTGGTGATGGACACGGGTTGCCTGGTGTGCTGCAGTCCATGGGGTCACAAAGAGTCGGTCACGACCAAGCAACTAAACTGAACTGAACTTGTACTGTATAGTAAATTCCACATGTATTTATGCTATCATGTTAGGAGTCAAGTTCCTTTTACACAATTTTCAAGTTTCCATTATTGTTTGGATATTAAAACCTTTCTAAGTTACTATATCTAGTTGGAAATCAATGTAAGAGGTGCAATGAACTCGGAAAGAATCCCAAGGAGAAAGAAAATGTTGAGTTTAGAGACAATGAGGATGAAAAATTAGAATTATTCAACTTAAAGGACAAAAGGCTAAGGTGATCTCCTGTATTTAAATAGAGAAGTACTATTATTTGGAGAATAGAAAGCAGTTTCACTTTCACTGGAGCCAGAACTATAGGAATAAAATTGACCTGTTGTCTGAGATGTTCTGTTAATAGTAAAGAAAGATATTTTCAGTTTCATTAGTCATTAAACACTGAAATGTGCCACCAGAGAAGGTTATAAAGACTTCATCAGTGAGTTTTGAAAGACTGTGGTTAATTTAAGCCTAAGCCTTACACAGAAAGTAGACGAAATTTTAGAAGTTCTTTAAGTATTTTATAACTACCTAACAATAGAGATAATTTTTACCTAGCTAAAGAGTGTTGGTCACTGCTAGGACCTGTTGAGCTAAAGTTCACCTCAGCTTTAGGGAAAAGATTCTCTAGGATCATACAAGATGATTATTATGAGAGAACCAATACTGTTTTCATAAGACCATAGTTCCGTGGTTTAGAAGATTTTCAGAACATTCATTATGGTGGGTATATTTGATGAGGAATCAGTGAATTCAATAAAGTGAAACTCAGGAGTCTGTGCAAGTATACGCACATACATGTACATGCTCAGTCATGTCCAACTCTTCTTGACCCCATGGACTGCAATCCGCCAGACTCCCCAGTCCTTAGAATTTCCCAAGCAAGAATACTAGAATGAATTTCTGCTTCCTCCTCCAGTGGGTCTACCTATCCTGGGACCGAACCCACGTCTCATGCATCGGCAGGCAGATTCTTTACCCCCTGAGCCATTAGGAAGTCTTTTCAAGTATATATGACTTTCTTAATAATTTCCTCATAATACACCTAATTGTCTTTTATTCTACTGTGGTATAGTACTATATCACTGTGCCACATGCCAAGTTATGTTTTGCTGTGTCATCTTATAACACTTAACAGTTATACAACTTACAGTCTGCATTACTGAAGGATGTAATTTACATTCGTTTTCATTCTTCTTGCATTATAGGTGAATGAGTTTGTGTGTGTGTGTGTGTGTGTGTGTGTATGTGTGTTTTAATGTATCTACCTCCCCTATGTGATTTTAATTTCTTTCAGTACAAAGGTTATCTATAATCAGTCATCTTTATGGTCACCCATGACATCTGCATAGTGTTAGGCACATTGTGGGTGACAATCTATATTTGTTTCCATAAATTAATAATTTTGGAAAGTAATTTTTACTACATCCCTTTCCATTTCTGAATTTCATACCCACAGGTATCATCAAGACAGCCTTGCTCAACATGGATCGAGAAAACAGGGAGCAGTACCAAGTGGTAATTCAAGCCAAGGATATGGGCGGCCAGATGGGCGGATTATCTGGGACTACCACGGTGAACATCACGCTGACCGATGTCAATGACAACCCTCCTCGGTTTCCCCAGAGTAGGAACATTTGATTGAATGACTTTCTTCAGGGAACTTTTGTAAAACTGTAACTTTAAGAATGATATTTATTTTTTCTTTATTGTTATTAATTGCCAAAGTTAGTGAACTTAGTAAGAACTTGCATGTTTATTAAAAATGAACCGACAGTACTGATGCTCAGTAGATGTACATGTTTATCAGTAATTAGCTAAGCAGTTGCCTGATATGTCTGTTATTATAAAAGCAATACCATTGTTTTATTTTTCTTTATTAATAAGACTACCACAGACATAAGTATGCTTGTGCAGAACATATGTTTACAAGCATGCTGCTATTTGTTAGGAAAAAATCGACTGTATATTTTGTGAATTTAATCAGGCATGTAATCTCCTTTAAGTCTTTGCAAGGGGAGGATATATCATTTTACTGTTTATAAAAATAAAACTGTAGAAATAACTATGCACTTAAACCATTTGTACTCATAAATAGTTTTCCACACTATGGTTAACTGAGATACCAAAAGTCATCTCTGAAATCTTTAACAATCATGATTAGATAAGAAAGAAGATGAAGGAAGATAAGTGCCCACTCTTAAGCAATACACTTGACCTTTTCACTTATAGACCTCAGTAGGTACTGGTTTTCATGTCATTTTTCTTCCAACATCAAAAGCCCTTTCTGACCATGGTTTCCTAAGTGAAAGTCACTCAGTCATATCCTACTCTTTGCAACCCCATGGACTACACAGTCCATGGAATTCTTCAGGCCAGAATACTGGAGTGGGTACTGTCCCCTTCTCCAGGGGTTCTTCCCAACCCAGGGATTGAATCCAGGTCTCCTGCATTGCAGGCAGATTCTTTACTGTCTGAGCCATTGGAGAAAACTATTTAATACCTGAATCCCTTCTTCTAGGAGAAAATAGTTGCCCATCATTAAGTACAAAACCCACTTATTCAAATGTGGCCGTTTTTTTAAACCCAATCAACTGATTAAGAGCTTCTTTTATAATGGAGATACACACGGAACAATAAGAACTTTTTTAAAAATTATTTTTTACTGAAGGATAATTACTTTACAGAATTTTGTTGTTTTCTGTCAAACCTCAACATGAATCAGCCATAGGTATACATATATACCCTCCCTTTTGAAACTCCCACCCATCTCCCTCCCCATCCCATCCCTCTAGGTTGATACAGAGCCCCCGTTTGCATTTCCTGAGCCATACAGCAAATTCCCATTGGCTATCTATTTTACATATGGTAATGAAGTTTCCATGTTACTCTCTCCACACATCTCACCCTCTCCTCCCCTCTCCCCATGTCCATAAGTCTATTCTCTATATCTGTTTCTCCATTGCTGCCCTGTAAATAAATTCTTCAATACCGTTTTTCTAGATCCCATATACATGCATTAGAATATGATATTTATCTTTCTCTTTCTGTCTTACTTCACTCTGTATAACAGGTTCTAGGTTCATCCACCTCATTAGAACTGACTCAAATGTGTTCCATTTTGTGGCTGAGTAATATTCCATTGTGTATATGTACCACAACTTCTTTATCCATTCAACTGTCCATGGACAGCTAATGTCTGTCGATGGACATCTAGGTTGTTTCCATGTTCTAGCTATTATAAATAGTGATTCAGTGAACAATGGGGTACATGTGTCTTTTTCAATTTTGGTTTCCTCAAGGTAAATGCCTAGGAGTGGGATTGCTGGGTCATATGGTGGTTTTACTCCTAGTTTTTTAAGGAATTTCCATACTGTCTACTTTTTTCAAGTATTTAATCATAGTTAGCTAAGTGCAAAAACAGAATAGCTAACTGATTTCTGATTTAACGGGCAGAAGAAAGTTTTTATGAACCTTAAAACATCCATTCAGGAGCCTGACATGAAAAAATCAGGATCACCAACACTTTCTCCCAAAACCTCTTTTCTATGTGGGAATGGCTTGGGGAAGGATAGCAGGAGGATTTACCCATACCTTGTTACCAGGGGACTTCCCCCTCTCCACTCTCTCCTAGAAGAGACTGTGATCATTTCTGCATAATGTCCCAAGGAGAGGGATAGGAGAATACCGGAAGAGATTGGAGGCACCCAAGTACCCTTCCACTTCCCTCATGATAAAACTGGCCTCTTTTATCATTGTATCAAGAATGAGCTGAATACTTAGTGAATTAAATATTATTAAAGTATTATACCTTAGTGGGCTTCCCTGATAGCTCAGTTCGTAAAGAAACCGCTTGCAGTGTGGGAGACCTGGGTTTGATCCCTGGGTTGGGAAGATCCTCTGGAGAAGGGAAAGGCTACCCACTCCAGTATTCTGGCCTGGAGAATTCCATGGACTATATGGTCCATGGGGTCGCAAAGAGTCAGACACGACTGAGAGACTTTCACAGGTTAGTAGTGACAGTGTGAATTTTCTTTCCAAGGCAATTTGTGTAAATGGTGGGTAAAATGTAATGGGCAAGAGTAGGATAATTTTGTTTCTGCTATTTTGGGGTGGAGGGGTAGTGCTAAGGACATGCTAGCCTGGCATATCTAAATTGAAACTCACATGTAGTCTCCTTTGACTAATTTTCCAACATGAAGATGTAAGAAAAGTGTATGTCTACATAATAGAGTTTTTAATTAGTAGTATAAATATAAGAATGGGAGAGATCCATGTATAAAAAAGATGCTAATATTTAAAGGAAGAAAAATCTAGTCAAAACTAGAAAAATTTCAGAGCTTTATTCCTCAGTGTATTTATATATATTCTTAACTGCAACTAAACCAGCTCCACATATGAGTGAAGGAATCTCATCTCTACTTGGATACATTCTCTGAAGTGCTGTAATATGTTTTCACCTTCAGTTACTATTAGCAATGACAGAAAGAACTCTTAAAGAATACCTAGTAACTGGCTTAAAGTCACAGTTCAAGTTTAATTCTTTTCTGTTCTTTCTGCTAGATTACATTAACAGGAGGCTTCGAAAACTGCACCCTCCTCTAACAGTTCAGGCTTTCTCACAATCACACCGTAAACTTGGAAGCCTACTGTAGGACAAGAAAAATGTTTTCCCTTTGCCAAGAGACAAGTCATGAAATAGAAGAAATATTCTTGACAACCATGAAAGTAAAAATATTAAAGAGACAAGGGCACCATTAATTATTTTAAGGAAAGCACAAATCTGCCTGCATCCATGGTGCTATATGAACAAACTGCTAGAAAATGGGTTTTGTTTTTATTATGATGGGGTGTAATTAGTCTGTGTTTGACTTCTATCTGTCTGCTAATTAATAGGTACATATCAGTTTAAAACCCCTGAATCTTCTCCACCGGGTACACCAATTGGCAGGATCAAAGCCAGCGATGCCGACGTGGGAGAAAATGCTGAAATCGAGTACAGCATCACAGAGGGAGAGGGGCTGGACATGTTTGATGTCATCACCGATCAGGAAACTCAGGAAGGGATTATAACTGTCAAAAAGGTAATGCATTTTTTAAAATACTGTGCAAATGAAAGCGTTTATTTTTCTCTTGTCCCCAAGTAAAGGGGCAATTACATCTCACATGAACATTCCTCTCAAGTCTTGTTTATTCATTTTTTTAAGAGTAAGAGTGTTGCATGCATTGCACACATGCCAAGATGCTTCAGTCGTGTCCTATTCTTTGTGACCTCATGGACTGTAGCCCACCAGGCTCTTCTGTCCATGGGATTTTCCAGGCAAGAATACTGAAGTAGGTTGCCATTCCCATCTCCAGGGAATCTTCCCAACCCAGTGATTGAACCCGTGTCTCTTATATCACCTGCGTTGACAGACGGGTTCTTTACAACTAACACCACTGGGAAGCTGAATTTTTTTTAAGACCTAGTCTAATTACATTGAGAGTTCTTTGGTTGGCTTTCAGGGGTTCTCAATAATCTTATGCATTCATTAATTCTATACTTTTTAATAAATTTGCATTTAAAAGTTCCTAAGTAAATAGCATAAGCAAATGGAACACATAAAAATACATGAATAAGTAATATAAGTGAAGAATAAATTTTAAAACAGTGCCAGACACCATTTGAATGCTGGAGATGCAATAGTACATTCAACAAAATGGTCTCTGCTCTCATGGAACCACTCTTATGGACAAGAAAGCAAATGCACAAAGAAACACATATAACTACAAATTCCACTACATGATTTGAAGGAAAGGAGTAATACAAGCAGTGACAAAGATGGTTTGAATTAGAGAGAGAAGATATAGAAAGACCACAAAAATAAAGTAACAAAATTTCCTGCAAGCTCTTTAGCTACTTTTTGAAATGCAATAATTAAGATTTTATATTCTGAATTCCTATTTTTCTCTTATGTAGTTAATCACTACTCTGGAACACGCACACAAAAACTTTATGTTCTGAATTCTTATTTGTCCCCTATGTACTTATTTACCCCCAAAATTGTCATGGAGCAGTATACTAAAATATGGCAAAAATTAAAAATCAATAAACTGTGTGCTTCAAAGCTAAAAATAATATTAATTTTGGTTACTGTGTTTAATGAGTTCACTTTTATCATGTATTGTGTCATATTTTCTCTCTCCTTTGGTGTAATGTTTTATTTGCTGGTAAATATAAGCATAGGTGGACGTAAATAAGAAGAAAAATTTTCCTCTTAAGCTTTGGATTGTATGTCTTAATATCTGGAAACACAATAAAACATGTTACAGTGACATTCAGATCAATGTTTTATACTATAATATAATTAGGAAGCCCATTAGTGTGCATTAACCTTTTTAATTTTCTTGGTGCCTTATCAGATTCATGCTGAAATTTTGCCTAGCCAACTAAATCACATTCACTAACATCTTGATTAATTGTGTTTCTAGTGAGCCTTGTCATATTATCATCTAAAACTAAAAGTCAGCAATAAGCATTTGGGTTCACTATGTCTCCAGAAGCAGAGAGACTTCTCCTACAGACCTCTGACAACAATGATCATTACTTTCTTTGGCAAGTAATTAGCCAGATGCCCTTATCTGGATATCACTTGGAATATTTTAACACCTCATGCCAAAAACAAAAAAACAAAAAACAAATTTATTTTATCTGAACAAGGAATAGGAAATTAGGTTGCAAACCAGCGACTCTCCATCCTAGCTATGATCTTAGTTCCTCCACCAGGGACTGAACCCATGCCCCCTACATTGGAAGCACAGAGTCTTAACCACTGGACCACCAGGGAAGTTCTTTGACAAATTTTAAACACTCAGTGACTGTTCAGTTAAAGCCAAATGTGACAACAGCTGACACAGAATGCTCTACTACATATTTGCCAACCTGCCCCTGGTGTGGCTCCTGATAGTCAAATAAAAGGACTTTTATAAAAGGGTCTGTTTAGGTTCTCTCCCGCTTCCAGTGCCCTCTCCTGCCCATCATAAACTTTCATTCCTGGTGCATGATTTCTGCCCACAATTTCATCAGGATTGTGTGGCATCTGAACTCCCATGTCTTTTCCCAACATTATGCTGTGTAGTAATGTCTCAAAGCAATATGATCACATTCATTTGTCAGTAGTTTGCATTAAAAATGGCTCATGTCTTGACTTTCGGTGTCTTGACTGCTTTAAATATGTCATTTCTTCCTCCCCTCACTTCCCACAAGTTCTTGGACTTTGAAAAGAAGAAAGTGTACACCCTCAAAGTGGAAGCCTCCAATCCTCACGTTGAACCCCGCTTTCTCTACCTGGGTCCATTCAAAGATTCAGCCACGGTGAGAATTATGGTGGAAGATGTAGATGAGCCTCCTGTCTTCAGCAAACTGGCCTACATCCTGCAAATAAGAGAAGATGCTCAGATAAATACGACAATAGGCTCAGTCACAGCCCAAGACCCAGATGCTGCCAGGAACCCTGTCAAGTAAGCACACTTCTGTGACATGTCTCTTCCATAGGTTTGTTGATTTAAATTAAAATAGTCACTTGTAAATTGGAAAAGATGAATCCTTTTTTCCAATTAGTTGTATCTTCCTTAAAAAAACATTTAAAATACTTTTACTACCTTTATACTTCTTGTACGATATAAAATATTATTTTAGCAACTAAACAAACCTTAAAAACTCAACATTTGGGAATTGCCCTGGTGGTCCAATGGCTAAGATTCTGCCCTCCCACTGCAGAGGGAATGGATTTGATCTCTGATTGGGGAACTAAAATCCCGTATGCCTTCAGTCAACCCCCAAAAATTATTTTTTTAATTTGGGGGGAAGGCATAAAATGAGCTATAAGGAGTTTATTCCTTACAGGGGAGTGGTACAAGGTAATGCAGTTGAATGGGCTGGGATTTCTTTTCAGGTCTTAGATTTGTCAAAGTTGGTGAAGGAAGCACTTTTAACAAACAAGGCACTGGGCTTGAAAGTCTGTTTTTCACGTGTGGAAGAACCTACCATATAACACTTACAGGCAGAATTATGCTCCATTTGGATGCATAATTTTCTTTTGCAGACATGGATAAAAACAAGCACAGTTTCGTGATATATGTCTGGGAAATCATGGGGAAATTAATAGAGTTGAGTCCAAATATATACCAAATAAGCAAGCTCTATTTTCCTTGTATACCTTCACTGTAAATTACATTGTAAGAAGGCCTCATGGCTCTTTGAGACCATCATTGCTTAAGTATGCTAGAATCTTATCATGAAAGCACTGGAGTCCACAACTTCAAGCCTTTACCCATAGCTTAGTTGACTCACTGAGAAAAGTGCTAAACCAGAGTATTGTTGTGTCAATTACACCCCGTGAAGAAAGTAAGCAGACTGAGAAATTGTGCCAGTGAGTCCAAAAATCTCTGCTCAGGGCATTTGCCATGTGCCAGGCCTGTTCTAGGCACTAGGGATATGAGTGAGAACAGTACACAGTCCTGAATGCAGGGAGCTTGCATTCTAACTGGGGATGACAGAAATGAGCAAACAATAAATATGTGGGCGTGTTAGTTGCTCAGTTGTGTCCAACTGTAGCCCGTCAGGCTCCTCTGTCTATGGAATTCTCAAGGCAAGAATACTGGAGTGGGTTGCCATTCCCTTCTCCGGGGGATCTTCCCAACCCAAGGACTGAACCTGGGTCTCTTGAATTGCAGGCAGATTCTTTACTGCTTGAGCCACCAGGGGAGCCCTGTGATATGTCAAGTGACACTAAAGTGTAAGCAGCAAAATAAGACAGAGAAGACAAAGGGTGGGACTTCCCTGACGGTCCAGTGGTTAAGACTCCACACTTCCAATGCAGTGGGCTTGGGTTCAATCCCTGGTCAGGAAGCTAAGATCCCCATGCTGTGTTGCACAGCCAGAGGAAAGAAAGAACACAAAGGCATCTGGATACTGTCTTAGATAGTGCAGTCAGGCCTGGCCTTGTTGGAAATCATTTGAGTAAAGATTTGAATGAAATGAAGGGATGAACCACATTGATATCTGGGGAAAGAAGGTGCCAAGAAGAGGGAAAAGCAAGGGGACGATCTGATATCAGAGCTTGCCTGGCATATGGGAGGAGAGGCCAGCCAAGCTGAGAGCAGTCGCTGATGAAGAGAAGTAACGGTATCAAGCATCAGGCAACAGAGAGGTTCGGTAGGTGGTGAGCGAGGCAGGTCCTACTGGGATTTGTGGGTCCTCGCAACCACTGGATTTTATTCTGATTGAGGTAAGAAGCCACTGGCAAGCTTTGAGCAGAGTTAACTAATCCAAAACTACTCTCTCAAAGGATCACATTGGTTGTTGCGTGAAGAATATATTTTTTGCAGATGAAAGACTGAGGTTCTCAGGCAGTTGTTTCCTAACTTTTCAGCCATTGAGTCCTTTGTTCAAATGAAACTTCATGGCAAGTCCCACATCTAAAACACAGAAATGCCTGGCTTATTTTCAGAGAATAATTTTAAATCTCTGGGGGAAGAGATTTTGTTGTTTTATCATTCTACTGGAATATCTCCTTGAATTGCGTGATGGGCAACCCAGAGTAGCCACATGAGAGCTCCATGGGTCAAGGGTTCTTCCATATACATTTAACATTATTAATAAGGAAAATGGGCTTCCCAGGAGGCAGTCATGGTAAATAACCCACCCACCAATGCAGGAGACATACCAGACATGGGTTCGATCGCTGGGTCCAGAAGATCTGGAGGAGGGCATGGCAACCCACTGCAGTATTCTTGCCTGGAGAATCCCATGAACAGAGGAGCCTGGCGGGCTACAGTCCATGGGGTCTCAAAGAGTGGGACACAAGTGCAGCCACCTCGTACAAAGCACGTAGCACACACGCAACAAGGAATTTAAACGATGGCCTTTGCTTATACAACATGAATAACTTTAAGTACTTTCACAACGTGCTTTTACTCAAAGTTTGTATATTGCATAAGCAAACAATCTTAGCAAGTCAATATCAAGACCAATTTAAATGTGCTAATGCTTGAAATTTATAAATACGAACTTTGATTACTTCTTTGATCAGTCAAAATATTTTTAATGAAAGAGATAATGTCTTCTTGGAATTTAGACTGCATTTTTATATCTCTTTTACTTTTATACCACATACCACTTTTACCCATTGTATTTATTTTGTTTCATTATAGGAAGTAGTTAGCTTGTCAGAAGCTAGGTTGGCTGTCAACTAATTTTAAAATTTTTTCTGCCAGTCTTTCTTTGGTACATATGGATTTCATGTATAGACATAAAGATAAAAATATATATAGATACATTGGTACATAGATGTATATTCCAGTGGTTTCTTTTATAGGAGAATTATAACTGATTCTTATATTCAGAAAGTACAACCATATATAGTTTTTGGTTATTCAAGACATAAATATGGAACAATTAAGTGTTAGATGCCATCTTAAGTGTATAATTATACTAGAGAATTCTTCCCCAAACATTAATTTATCATTATTTTAACACAAATCTTTACTTCTTCAGTCACATAAAATAATTTTCTTTCAACTACTTTATGCCACAAGTGTCCTTTGATTTACATGGAAGTCTTATGAAATGTCACTCTGAATACTTATTATGAAAATTTTACATGCAAATACATTGTATTTTCCTGACCCACAAAGCTCCCTTCAGGGTACATGAGAAGACAAATTACTGAATCACAAAATACAGTAAAGTTTGAGGGGAAAAAAGGAGGTACCTAGCAGAATGATCCACTTTAATCATGATGAATTAATTACTGTTTTCCTTATCAATTATTATTATAATTAATGTGACTGACAAATTTCTGGATATAAGTAGAAATTACTTTGAAAAGAAAAACAACAAATAAATGAGGCTTTGTGTGCCTCAAGTAAGACATCTTTCCTAAACAATGTAGACATTTTAGGTCTTCTAATGATTTTAAATCCCCCAATCAAGGAAAGAAAATAATATAGAATTATTATATTTCCTAAATTGTCCTCTCTCTTTAAAATCAAAGCCACCTTTAGGACTTCCCTGGCAATTCAGTGGTTAAGACTCTATACTTCTACTGAAGGGGTCATGGGTTTGATCCCTGATTGGGGAACTAAGATCTTGCATGCAACACTCATGTCCAAAAACATTAAACAAGTAAAATAAAATGAAAAGCCACCTTCAACTAAAAATTCCTCACCCTTTATTTCAAAGCTTGATTGGAAAATATGAGTACTTTTAAAACTTAAAACCATAGCAGGAAAGAAAGAGACAAAGAACAAGAAAAGATTACTGCTGTGTATAATTGTTATAGCTTATAAAAGCAATAAGCAGCATGTCTTAAGCTTGACATTTTTCATAAAAGAAAAATATACATTTGTAGAAAATTATTAAATTCTTTACAAAGGCTATGAATACTGAGATTTCCTTTTTGGTAATCATGTCCTATAAATATTTATCATCCTCAAATTAAAAATGAAGAAAGGTGATCAAACAAGTTCAATGCAATTGGTTAAATTCTTAATAAATGTTGATTCATGACATAAATGACAAAACAATAGCTCTTTCATCTGTTTCAATACTTTTGACAATAAAACACTAGATTTATATAAACTGAAACTAAAATTCCAGGTTGATATATATGTATTCATTGTGAACTTAATTAATTCTCTTTAAAATCAGGTTTAAATACCCTACAATAATTGAATATCTATTTTTAGACATCTGCTAGATGATAAAAAGAGATTTTATTAAGATAACATATATTGTTTATTATAATTCAATAGTAGTACTTTAAAACAAAATAATTGAAATAGAATCTTAGAATATAGTACACTATTTGCAAGTTAGTAACAAGTTTTTTTTTTTAATGCATAATTCCACACATGTATGACTAGGTAAGACATTTACTTAAAATATATTTCTATTGAGCTGACATTTTAAAATCTCCTATCATGATGTACATTTTGAGAATGCAGCTGAGATGAGCAATTTTTTTGTTCCTAATAACCTTCACCTATCAACTTTATTCTGAGTTTTCTCTTTAGGAATCCTCTATAAAACAGGGTGTATTATATATTTTCCTCTTACTTATGGCTATTCCAGAAACTAGTGATAAATTTATAAAGAAGATAGCATTTCTCAAAGTCTACTTACCTTCCATGAATTTCAGTGTTGAAGACTTTGTCCCTTTTTGGTTTCTAAAACACCTCTTGGTTTTCCTTGAATTCTCCAAACCCTCCTTTTTAAATATGTATCAAATTCTTACTCTGCTCTAGGCACTGTTCTAGTCCCTGTGGGTCTCTGTTCCTGTTCATCTTGTAAGCAACTCAGTTCCTCACATTTTTCCCTCTTCTCTTCTTAGACAATTGACTCGAAAATCCAGATTGTTAGTCCAAATGTTTATCTTGAGCTTCCTGGACTTTCCTAAGGCACCTCAGCCTCAACATATCAAAACTGATCTTCCCCAAATCCTGTTCTTCACGCCTATCGTTTGTAATATCACCATCCAACCATTCTCCTAATTCAGCCAGTGATCTTTATTAAGCATGAGTTGGACGGTGACACTCCTCTGCATAAAATCCATTGGAAGATCTACATCAAGTTCAAATAAAGTCCAACTCCTCCCCATGGCCAGCCCATCCCTCTACAGTCCCAACTGTGAATCTCTTTCCAAGCCTGTCTCCTACCTCTCCAGCCTCACTAACCTTAGCCACATTTACCACCTTTTGCTTTTTCAACAAAATGATTTTTAAAATAAAAATGAGTAATAGAAAAACAACCGATAATCCTACTTATGCACATACACATGTTAAAATTCTAAAGATCTAAAAAGTTAAAACATAACAATTAGTATATAAACTCGATCCAAATTACATTTAAAAAAAATTGGGGATGATACTCAAAAATCATACAACTTGTCTAGTGGGCTCTATTAAGACCTCAACTGTAAAGCAATAATTTCTCAGAATATCTTGCTTAATGTTCAGTTCAGTTCAGTCACTCAGTTGTGTCCGACTCTTTGTGATTCCATGGACTGCAGCACACCAGGCTTCCTTGTCCATCACCAACTCCCGGAGCTTGCTCAAACTCATGTCCATTGGGTTGGTGATGCCATCCAACCATCTCATCCTCTGTCGTCCCCTTCTCCTTCTGCCTTCAATCTTTCCCAGCATCAGGGTCTTTTCCAGTGAGTCAGTTCTTCGCATTACGTGGCCAAAGTACTGGAGTTTCAGCTTCAGCATCAGTCCTTCCAATGAATATTAAGGACTGATTTCCTTTAGGATGGGCTGGTTGTATCTCCTTGCATTCCAAGGGACACTCAAGAGCCTTCTCCAACACCATAGTTCAAGCATCAATGTTAAGTTACAGATTTTCAAATATGTGCTAAAGGTAGAAAAAATTTCATGTAACCAATATTCTGGAATAGTTTTTAAGATGTAAAAATAACAAATAGAAAACCTTCCTAAATTCTACTCTGCATTTTCAGGTATTCTGTTGATCGACACACAGATATGGACAGAATATTCAACATCGATTCTGGAAATGGTTCAATCTTTACATCTAAACTTCTTGACCGAGAAACACTGCTGTGGCACAACATTACGGTGATAGCAACAGAGATCAGTAAGTCCACCCTTTTGCCACTACCATCCCTGATTGACAGAGAGCATCTCAGCGAGGGCTAGTGAAGCATGGCTGAAACTCATCACTGTGTATTGATGATCCTGCTCAATACGTATTGAATGAAAGAGCTCTGTAATGATTTGTACTAAATGTTTCTTCTAAACACGTGTTGGGTCAGTCATAAATGCAGAAGCAACTGTAGAAGTTCTGTAGTTTGGGAACAATAAAACGGGAATGCATCTCTCAGTCTAGTTTGAATTGGTACATATTGGATTTAATTCCAAAATGCTTGTAAATCAGAGTGTCACACAAGCTGCTGAAAGAAATGGGCTCCCAGTTAGACACTGTATGTGTGTGGCAGTAGTGGGGGAATGGGGATCAAGTATAACCCAATGTAGGCATTGCTTAGAAATCGTTCTTTTAATTTCAGCAACATAACCAGTATTATTTTAGCAACACAATTATATGAGAAGAAAGAAAATGATGAATTTAGACAACAAATATTTGTTAACCTTCTGTCAGCTCTCACTATGTGCATTTTTAAAAAGAATTGCTATATATAAGCTTTCATTGCACTTTATCAATTAACATATATCCAACACAATATTTATTAATATTTGTTTAACAAGGAGGATTCAGTATAGAAATCTTTTGGCTGTTCACTCTTTAGCTTTCTGTAGAATGCCTGTCTCAAAATTGTTACAGAATTTTTTTTTTTTTTGAGTCACTCAGTTGTGTCTGACTCTTTGTGACCCCATGGACTATACTGTCCATGGAATTCTCCAGGCCCAAATACTGGAGTGGGTACCCTTTCCCTTCTCCAGGGAATCTTCCCAACCCAGGAATCGAACCGGGATCTCCTGAATTGCAGGTGGAGTCTTTACCAGCTGAGCTATCAGGGAAGCCCTGTTACAGAATTAAGAGATATAAATTTTGACTTTTCCATGGAACACCAAAGTGAGCGATACTAACCACCAAGTAATCCTTATTAGAATGAATTTTATCACAGTCTCCATTAAATGTAAGGCAAAGAAAAACACTGCCAAAGGAATACTTCAAATAAAATAATTATACACAGTGAAATCTGTGTAATATAAATACAATGTGTAGACTTAAGTAAATGAAAGAAAGAGGATTTTTTAAATAGCATTTAAATGTTTAAAAATAGTCTTCTAAGTTATAGCTCATTTTTTAGTTTTTTATTTTAGAAGTTCAAATGATTTTAGCACAGGTATCTAGTGTAAAATAGTCCATATCAAATGGTTCAATACAATAATACTCTTTGTCAGTATAACTCATGAGATTTGAAGTGGCTGAACGATATTGAGTAGAATAATAAATAACCAATATGGACAAAATGAAACACTGCTTTTGTGTAGTGGTAAGAATTTCTCATTATATATTTGCTAGGTAAGAATTTGATCTTCAAGATTTATGTGGAGGGACTACTGTGGATACCAATGACAGAGCATACTTAGAGCATTAAAATTACAAAATTATTTACCACTTGAAAAGGATAATTTTTATTACATGAAATTTTATTTTTTTACTGAGTTAGTCATCTTAAGTATGTTTTAAGCTTTGCACCTAAAAATTTGTTTTTAATATTTACTGTTCCTATGATATATTTGAAAGTCCTAGTGATAAAGACCTTTTAAAACTCACCTTTGAAGCTTTGACTTTGGAAGAATAAATGTGAGCAAAATTTTAGATGCAAAGGAAGCTAAGAATCTTATTGTCCAAACTTTTTCAATACCTTTTATGCCAAGAGTCAAGAGCTTGTATTAAGCCATCTCTCTCACTCCAGGCCACTGTACTTGCCATTTCCTTGACCTCGAGAGCCAGAAACACTCACATGGCTTAATCCATCTCTTCATTCATGTCTCTATGCATATGGCATCTCATCAGAGAAGCCAGTCCTCGTCATCCCACACAAAGCTGCATCTCTGTCTCTCTCCGGTCCGTTTTACCTGTTTAATTTCTCCATAGCATTTGCCATCTGGCACATTATATATTTATGTGTTTACAGTTTGCCTTCCTCCTTTAGAACAAAGCTCCGGGAAGCAAGATCTTTGTTATGGTCCCAATGTGTCCCAGCACCCCAAATAGTGGCTAGCACAAGTTAGTATTAGATGCTCACTAAATATTTATGATGAGAACAAACAAATAGACATATGAGTGAATGAATGAAGAGACCTGAGGTGAGAGACTCCAGCCCCTGATTCTTAGACCAGGAATCTATCTTCCATACTTCCCAGGAGATTATCAGAAATGACAGCCAAAACACTCCATTTACCACAGGTCTTCAAACACTGATTAGGCTCTTTCATTATGAGATGAACAGCCTCAGTTTTGTGGTCAGACAGACCCAAGTTTGAATCTAGGATCCACTCTTTACTATTAATTTCTCTGTGAGTGTGGACAAATTACCTAACTCCTCCATGCCTCATCTATAATATAATGAGTTTCCTCAACTATAATATGGGGGCAATAATTATATCTATCTCAGAAGTTTATAAGGATTAAATAAAATAATATAACAACGTGCTTAGCACAATGTCTAGCTCTGAAGCTAAAAAACTAAGACCATTCACAATCATTACTGTCCCATTCTTTTTTCCTTCTGTCCACAGAAAAGCCTACTTCCCTGGCTTCCTTTAAAATTTGCCTCTAAAATTCCTTTTCTGGATAGCTCTTCTTTATTTTCTGTTAACCTGGGATTTATTATATGGTTGCACTGTATGGGCTTCCCTGGTAGCCCAACTGATAAAGAAACTGCCTGCAATGTAGGAGAATCCAGTTTGATTCCTGGGTTGGGAAGATCCCTTGGAGAAGGTATAGGCTACCCACTCCAGTATTTTGGGGTTTGCCTGGGGGCTCAGATCTCACATGCAATGTGGGAGATCTGAGTTCAATCCCTGGGATGGGAAGATCCCCTGGAGGAAGGCATGATAACCCGCTCCAATACTCTTGCCTGGAGAATCCCCATGGACTGGAGCCCACCACGCTCCTCTGTCCATGGGCTCACAGAGAGTCATATACAACTAAGTGACTAAGCATAGCACACACAGACTGTACATAAAGGTAGCTTTGTCCCCTATATATTTCCTTCAGGTATATCCTAGTCCATAAGTACCAAAGAATTGAATTCTACTTTTTTGTGACTATGATGATACATAATGCCCTGTGGTACTCATAGGAGCCTTGGGGAAACTATGTATGAATGAAAAAGGAGTGAGTAACCATCATCTAAAGGGGATCACCCATTCACATATAAATGCCTGTTCCTTTCTTTTGGGCATTTTGCAGATAATCCAAAGCAGAGCAGCCGAGTACCTCTATATATTAAAGTCCTAGATGTCAATGACAACCCCCCAGAATTTGCTGAATTCTATGAAACCTTTGTCTGTGAAAAAGCAAAAGCAGATCAGGTGAGTTTCATAAGAAAGCAAATTAATTAACTCAGACAAATTTAGATCTTCTAATAATTCAGATGATACACAGAGCTGAGGGCAAGTTTTGAATTATCTATGAAATAAATGCCAACAAAATTAATACTATAAATAAGAACCATGATGAATGTTTAACTTGCATAAGAGAACAAACAGTTTTTAAAAAAACAGGAAGTTCGTTAGTCTCACAGACTGATGCTAATCCCAAATTAGTCTTAAGTTTTCATGAAAATATATCAATCACTGCTTTATTGGAAAAATCTTTATTGGTGAGAAGATATTTTTAATTACCATATATACTGAAAAGTACTAGCTAGAACATATTTTACAATTGCCTATAATTCATCATTTCACTTATTTACATTGCCCATCTGTACAAGTAATACAAATTCATGAATGTTTTACTGTTTTACACATTTGTCCCCACCTGAAATCAGTCTTTTCTGCCAGTGATATAAAAATTATGTTAGTTTGTCAAAATAGAAGTGCACTGTTAAAATACATGTTAAAATGGGACTCCAAAGTTGTGGTTTTTATACTCAAACTAGCTCTTTAGCAAGTTGTATATGCCAAGCTTGCATTTCTAAGCAAGCTGTCCAAAGAGTGCCTCCCTTTACTTAAGTTGCAATGTTGTCATAAATCGCTGTGATATTTTAAGCTTGTTATCACTCTAGGGCTATGTTTCTCAACCCAGGTGATTTTTCCCTGCACCCCCCTGCCCCCCCTCCACCAGGGACATTTGGCAATAACTGGGGACATTTCTGGTTGTCACAAGGAAGAGGGTACTACTGGTTTCAACAGAAGAATTTAGATTTGCTGCAAAAAATACTGCTGTAGGGCTGTCCCTTGCTCTATTTCCAGCCAATCAGTTCTCTGCATAGGGTGGATTCATTGTAAGTTTTCTAGAAGCTATCATTTTAAAATTAAAATTAGATATCATTGAATTAGCAATTTACTGCAAAGCTGTAAGAAACTCTGTTGAGTTAGTAAAACTTGATAACAACTTTATGGTTTTGATTTTAGTTGATTCAGACCCTACGCGCCATTGACAAGGATGACCCTTACAGCGGGCACCAATTCTCGTTCTCTTTGGCCCCTGAAGCAGCCAGTGGCTCAAACTTTACCATTCAAGACAACAAAGGTAAATGAGCCCAAGCTGCCTGTCTGTCTATACACTTATGTCTGTATCTATATCTATCTAGTCTCATCAGAATTGATCCCATACATAACATGATTTCCACTTCCATTCACCACTTTGCTTTCCGGTTCCAGACAACACGGCGGGAATCTTTACTCGGAAAAATGGCTATAACAGACATGAAATGAGCATCTATCTCCTGCCTGTGGTCATATCAGACAACGACTACCCAGTCCAAAGCAGCACTGGGACAGTGACTGTCCGGGTCTGTGCATGTGACCACCAAGGGAACATGCAGTCCTGCCATGCGGAGGCCCTCGTCCACCCCACGGGACTGAGTACGGGGGCTCTGATTGCCATCCTACTGTGCGTCGTGACCCTACTAGGTAAACTGCTTCTCCCTGCATCCTATCTCCCCATGCTGAGGGGCACACACTGTTACTGTGGCTCTCTAGATTTATCCGCCTCCCCCATTAAGGCATACAGCCTGATCTAGGTGAGTAGAGTTATGTGCTGGGAATCTTGTGTGTGTTCACCCATGAACTAGTTTTTGCTTGAAAAGTGGCTTTGGAGAATGAACAGTTGTGAAACTTGCCCATGTCTTTCCCCACTGAGGCAGTCGTTCCACCAAAAGATCTCTTGTCTATCAGGCTGGGAATGAGCTGCAGGGGGATTTGAGGGCAATATATAAATATGCCCTTTCCATTTCATTTGTCTTTTAATATTTAACCTGGCGAACATTCAGTTTTCAAAGAACAAAAGTTGCTGGGCGTGGAGTGTATATGATGAAGGCCATTTCCATCAAGGTAAAGTCTAAAGACCAATGAGAAACTGGAAAGAGAAATGCAATGGCTTTTTTTCTCCCATACAGGAAAATAAATAGTGGTGAATTTTCTTGAACTCAGCAAACTTACTTGGATCTACCCACTCGAATAACTATCTTCTTAGCATTGCTTTCTGACTACCATATACACAATGTCTATTATTTCTCAGACTGTCAATAAATAACTTCTGTGAGTAAGGAAATAAATCTGGGGTCTAAAAGAAATGAATGTAATCAAACGTCTAACAGTGATCTGAAGGAAAAATTTTTATTCCCAACCAACTAATTAAGCACACAAGTTGAGCTTGGAATGCTCAGAAGTCCCTTGATTGTTATGAAGTAACAGATCAAATATTAGCTATTACACCCCTTCAAAAAATAAAAGTTAAAATTTGTAAAACTTGCCTATACCATGGGGGGGAAAGAAACTCAGAGTTGACCTGGATTTCACAGAGACAGACCAGGGAGTCATTTTTTTTTTAAATGACAGTGTAGTGACTTTGAGAAGAGGGAAGGAAGACTTCCATTTCTCCAAGAAGAGAAAGCCTAGGGATCCCTGCTCAAGAGTTTCATATCCCAGGTTGACTCTGCTAATTATCACAGAGCCTTGAAACCTGGCTACAGAACTGTGATTCTCTTCGTCAACTAAGAGTTGGAGGAAGTATTTTAAGATATGAGAATAAATAAAAACTGACAGTATGCAAAGACAAAACCGTGTTCTAATGGTGTGAGTCTGTAAATATTGTTCTCCAAGAGAAAGATACAAATATTCTTTTTTGGTTTAGAAGAAAAAGAGGTTTTTTTATTCATTTATTTTAACTTTTTATTTTTATTTTTTATTTTGTGTTGGGGTATAACTGATTAACAATGTTGTGATAGTTTCAGGGGAAGCGCAAAGGGACTTAGCTATACACATACCCATTCTCCCTCAAAATCCCCTCCCATCCAGGCTGCCACATAACCTTGAGCAGAGTTCCCTGTGTTATACAGGTCCTTATTGGTTATCCATTTTAAATATACCTGTGTGTACATGTCGATCTCAAACTCCCTAACTATCCCTTACCCCCATCATCCCCCCTGGTAAAAGTGGGTATTTTTAGGAGGGCTAGTCTGGATACTGTATCAAATAGAATTCCATGGATCCCTGGTCTATGGAGAAAGAGCCAGTCTTCATCTCACAGAGGTCATACTTCCCTTCTCTCATCATCTATCCACTTTCTCCACCCTCTTATTTTCCTTCTAACCAGCTCCCTATGACCTCTCTTTTCATCTCCTTCCTCCAGTGAATTTGCCGTCTCCTCATTACTCCTAATTTGCCTCTGTGTTTCCCTCATCTTGTCTAGTCCCTTTGTAATTCTGTACCTAATTAAAAAGGAGAAAATGGGATTTAACCTTTATTAGACTCACATCATGGGCTAGATACGGGACGGGAGTCTTTACAAATGTTTTTCTCACTTAATCCTCAGAACTATCTGGTCTATATTTATCTGCATCTTACATATGAAAGCTGAGGTTCCAGGATGTGAAGCCAAGTCACACAGCTAACAGGTGATAGAACAAAGTTCCAAACCCAGGTTTTTGCCCCCCAAGCCCTGGTGCTTCCACACTGTACCCTACTTTCTTTACAAGCTTACAGAATGCAGTGCAACTTCCACGCTGAAAGAGAGCTTGAACTAAAAATAAGATGATTGAACAAATCTGGGAGTCTGTAAGAGGAAGAAAGCAGCGTTGACATAGGAGGAAATCTGCCGTCAAGAAAGTGGATCGTGTGGCATCTGTTGTTTTTGTCAATAAAGCAACAGTAAAAACAACTACTACATCTTATGCCTCTTTGGTACTTTCAAGTTGGCATTAACTTTCATATTGGGCACCGTGTTATTGCTTCTCTTTTACAGAGAAAAAACTGACTTAGAAAGGTCAGATTGTTTAATTGAATCTAGATCTGCTCATCTTAGATACCTGGCTACCTTCTAGTTCTATGATGGGATTTGAACACAAATTGGTCCAAGTACTCCAGCCCCAAAATTTTACTGTGGTCCTCTGGCCTCAAGGGGGTAGAGAAAAGGAAAGGGTCAGTTACTGGGAAGACAATTTATAAAAGTTAGCTTTGAAAAAAGGACCTTCCTTTTAGATGATTATGCTCTCAAGAAATTCTGTTAGATGTACATTGGGCCAGTAAGAAAAGACAGGCAATTGTAGCAGTAGGAGAATTAGGCAGTGCACAAATGCCTTTGAATTACTGAACATGCCCTCTGTCTTCTAGACAATTGCGCTTTCAGGTGTGCATAGGACTAAAAGACAAGATACAGGTAACTTAGGCTAGGGAAGAACTAGGAAGTGATAAATGCCTGCTATCTTGCCTTAAATGATGGAATGAACCTGTGTCCATCAGCATTTATTTCTCTGAGAGACATTTAGCTTGATTCTATTCTCTGTCCTAAAGACTGGCCTTACTTACAGCCCTCTGTTTTGCAAATCTGTGTCACACTGGAAACTAGCATAAAAGGTAGATTAAGGGGCTTCCCCATAGCTCAGCTGGTAAAGAATCTGCCTGCAATGCAGGAAATCCCGATTCAATTCCTGGGTTTGAAGATCCGCTGGAGAAGGGATCGGCTACCCACTCCAGTGTTCTTGGGCTTCCCTTGTAGCTCAGCTGGTAAAGAATTCACCTGCAATGCAGGAGACCTGGGTTCGATCCCTGGGTTGGGAAGAGTCTCTGGAGAAGGAAAAGGCTACCCACGCCAGTATTCTGGCCTGGAGAATTCCATGGACTGTATGGTCCATGGGGTCGCAAAGAGTTGAACACAACTGAGCACCTTTCACTTTCACAGATCTCCTTGGACACAAGGGACTTCCTTGGTGGTCTAGTGGCTAAGACTCCATGCTCCCAATGCAGGGAACCCAGGATTCAATCCCTGGTCAGGGAACTAGACCCCACATGCCACAACTAAGAGTTTGCAAGGCACAAGTAAAGATTCTGCAACTAAAGATACCCCATGCCACAATGAAGACTGAAGATCCTGCATGCTGCAACTAAGGCTTGGCATAACCAAATAAAAAAATTTTTACGAAAAGGTATATTAAGAGCATCTTTCCACCCAAAACCCTGCAGTTTTCCAACCACCTGGACCCCAGGGTAAAGTGAAGGCATATGGCACATCCACAGCCCCACATGTCATGGCCCTTCCCCCTCCTCTCTCTCCACCGACCCTACACCTCACACTCTTCAAACACACCCCACGCCATGGCCTTGCTCCTAGCTCTGCCTCTCCTCCAGATAGCACCCTGGATAACTCCTCATCTATTTGCTCAAACGTTACTTCCTTAATGATGCACTCTCCCCCCATACACACACAAAAATATATGCAGCCCCTCAAACATATACAGAAGTCCTTCCCATCCTCCTTACTCTGCCTTACTTTTTCTTATTTATATTGCAATTCTCATCGTCTAATAATTTCCTTATTTATTATACACATTGTTTTTTTCTGTCTCCATCCATCCACCACCACCACCACCACCACCACCACCTCTGCCTACCTTATCCAGACAAGACTCTTGATCAATTTTTTTCATTAATACTGCCTAGAACTCTACCTAGCACAGAGTTGGCAATAAATAAATACTTCTTGAATAAACAAAAAATATGTACCATGAATGAAAGGGATACATGAGGCACCAGGATACTCTCTGGCAGCAAAAGAGAATGTTTGCATTTATACAACCACATGCTTGAAAACAGCAGAACTGCATATCCTTGTGAAATAGTCTGTAATCCAAACATGCTTCAAAGCATGGTCATTAAATGCACAAGCTTTTTAGTCTGTCTGACCTGGATTTCAATTATTTGCACACATCACATCTCTAAACCACAATTTCCTCTTATGTAAAATGGAGTTATAATGGTGGTATCTATTTTGTCAAGCCTATTATGACAATTCAATTAGATTCCATATGTAAAGCACTTAGCACAGTGCTTGGCACATAGAACTGTCTCAACAGGTAACCAATTATTAATATCATTAACATCTGAAATGTTAAATATATAGACACCTGGGTGTGCATATATCCATTATTATATAGGTAGATATCCACATCTACCAAAGGCCATTATTCTGTAATTGTTATTGTGATAATTCAGTTTTCATGGCTCATAAAAACTGGGCCATGTTATGGGTGAAAGAGTAAAGAGATATTACTGGTACTAATCTACCCTGGACAAACCCAGGTTAACAATGCATTTTCTGCCCCATATGACCGTTTTCTCTCTAAGCTGTCACTATGTTTTTACTTTCTCATCCATATGTTCCTTCGTAGATGTGTCTCTTTACAGGTAGCCAGCTGTGTTCTACCCAACCAGCTGTGAAGAAGCATCAGGAGCTATTTAAATACAGTTCTTGCTTTGCCTCTAATTTGAATTAGGAAAAATCAAAACAACAAACATTCCGGTCAACAAACTTACAGAACATGAAACTCTGAAAGATTTTCTGTTTTAAGTTCCCACAGAAATATGTTTGTTTTGTTTAGCCTAAGCACAAATAATCTGGCACCTGTTCCCTTGAAACTGGCTGATCTAAGTTCAAAATGGCTTTCTGAATTGTATCTGGGTCTTTCCAGGTATTATCTGTACTTATATGTAAGAAAGGTATGCAAACATTCACATCTCTTCTTTGTGCTTTAAACGAACTTTACACTTTTCTCGGGGAAGAAAAAAAGAAGGCATCAGTGCAAAAGTTATTTTAGAAGTGGAGTTATGCAAACCCTTCAACACATCCCCGAAGGTGCCAGCCTTGTGCTTATAAGCAGTTTCAGAGCATTTCAGGTGTTCAGCATAATTTTCGCTCTTTTTTGCACTACTCTCACTGCGGCTGAGCTCTTTTTTATTTTTTTTTTTCCGTTACCTTGAACTAATCTGCCATTTCAAAGCAAAAAGGAGCTACTGACAAAACATGAAGGTGTTTTATCCTCTAGTTAAATTCTTAAAAACTTTCTTTCAAATATTATATAGTTACTCCGTTGAGGGGGTGGGGGAGGGCCCTGATTTGATCATGTGCGGAGGCAAGTGCAAACTTAAGCAAGAGTAGTTTCGTGGAGAACTTTGAAAACTTCACTTTGTGTTTCTTCCTGATGTTAATTGGGCGGCAAATTAACTTTCCCTTCCCTTGCTGTTTTGTTTCTGCTTCCAGTGACAGTGGTGTTGTTCGCAGCTCTCAGGCGGCAGCGGAAAAAAGAACCTTTGATCATTTCCAAAGAGGACATCAGAGACAACATTGTCAGTTACAACGACGAAGGAGGCGGAGAGGAGGACACCCAGGCCTTTGATATCGGCACCCTGAGAAATCCCGAAGCCATAGAGGACAGCAAATTGCGCAGGGACATTGTGCCCGAGGCCCTTTTCCTACCCCGACGGACTCCAGCAGCCCGTGATAACACCGACGTCCGCGACTTCATTAACCAAAGGTTAAAGGAGAACGACACGGACCCCACCGCCCCGCCCTACGACTCCCTGGCCACGTACGCCTACGAGGGCGCCGGCTCGGTGGCCGATTCGCTTAGCTCGCTCGAGTCGGTGACCACGGATGGAGACCAAGACTACGATTACCTTAGTGACTGGGGGCCTCGGTTCAAAAAGCTCGCGGATATGTACGGAGGGGTGGACAGTGACAAAGACTCCTAATGTGATGTGTTGCCTTTTTTTCATTTTTCAATACGACACTGAAAGATGTGAAGTGGCTATTTCTTTCTATTTATCCACTGCTCCATGAAGGGTCCTCTGTTCTATCCGTTCCAAAAGTAAATGGCTGCAGTCCGTGTGGATCCAACATTAGAGACTTTTTTCTAGTACACTTTTATGACCTTCTAAGAGGCAAATGTTTATTTTTTAGTGCATCCTGTTAACCGTGTCTGCCCAACAGGCGCTGGGCTGCAGGAGAGGATGGGTCGTCATCTTTTCCCATGTAATCTTAGGGCAAGTCTGAAACAGCTCAATGCCACTGGCCTGGTCTCTTACTGCATTGCACTGACTCAAGGTCAGCTGACTGCTCTGTACATTTCACACGCTAATGGGATGAGGGATTGTGCTTTAATGATAAAAAAAAAAAATAACAGTTTTAGTAAAAGAAATGAGGGAGGAACCACTGTTCCTGGTGTATCAGCTCACAAGGAGATGATGAACTATATATGGGTGTGTATTTCTGTCACAAAGAATTTAAAATGATATTTGCCCATCCTGTTTGTCCTTCATAATCTTTTTCCGGCACCAATGACTATTCAAAACATCAGATCCACCAGTGTTTTGAGATTCTCCTTCCTCTTTAGGAAATGATGCCAATTAAATGGTAATGTTCAAAAAGAACAACCAAAAAAAAAAATCTTAATACCACCTCATTCCTTGCCACTGGTTCATAAGACATGCAAAAGTTTGCTGTTGCACCATATAAAGGGAAAGGAAAAATAGCTAATAGATGTTAACAAAGGAAATATTTAGCATATTTTAAAGTTTGGGCCACCAAATATATCATGGATCACTTGGAATTATTTCAGCCATCAGTAGGCTAATTACAAATAAGTCTAATCGTTTAAAAAGTTCTTGAAGGAACTTTTCTGAGACAAAGTTTAACTCCTTGTCTGTAGTTGTCAGTATTATTCTAATATACTTGAAAGTAGCAGCGTGAAGTACAATAACTCATATGCTTCAGATACTTCTTACACAATTAAGTTGCATTAGTAAAAGTAGATTAAGTAAAACTCAGATCCCTGTCTCAGAGTTAAATGGAGAGGTAAGAGCCAGTCACACTTGAACTTGACACCCTGTCCTTCACATTCGAAAATATCCATATATTTATATAATGTGATATAGATGAGTATTGAAATCATGGTGAAAACCTACATATTATATGTTTGGAAGACGCTCACAAAGGGAAAACTTGGATTCCCTACAAGGGTATTTAAGATTGTAATTAAAATGATAGCTGACTTTCAAAAGCATTAAAATTTTTTCATTGTTTTTAGCTTTGTTTCCATGGCAACACTGCCATCCTTGTCTTTGAACTAATGATAAAGTAATGGTCTCAAACTACAAACAGAAAAGTAATGTACAATCCATCAAATCCATTATTTCTCTAATTATGCAATTAGCGTCGTAGTTATTATCCAGAGGACCCAACTGAACTGAACTAATCCTTTTGGCAGGTTCAAATCATTTATTTCATATGCTGTTCTAATGATTTTTGTCATTAGAATCTTACATTGTGCAGTCATCAGAAATTTCCAAAGTACTGTAATGAAAACATCCTTGTTTTGAAAACTTAAAAAAAAAACAAAAACAGGTTCTGTATGTATATAATATGTACTTAAGAATATGCTGACTTCAATTAGTAGTCTTAGGGATTTATTTTCAATTAATTTCATTTTCTGCAGGTAATCTTAGTGCCATTTCCATTTGAGGATAATGTCATATCAACACATATTTTCTATTTGAAAACACACTGTTGTTTCGTTAAGTTTTAAATAGATGTATTACCCAGGAAGTAAAGACAACATCTTTAAAAAAAGAGAAATATAGTATTTGGGGCTACCCAATTAGAATGAAAAATTGTTACAACCATATTATTCCTTGTGTTTCCTGAATGGATGGACTTCCCTGTATACTAACAAGTATTTTATGCTTGGACTGTTTCTTGCTTACAAGGTTCTCTTTTCTAGTTCTTCATACACACACAGACACACACACACAGAAGAATGCAAACAAAATACTACAGGAGGGCTTCACTGTAAAGAATCAGTATATATCATAGTCACAGGTAAGTGTTGAAAAAAGATAGCTTAGTAAAGTTAATTAATAAGAACTAGTTACTTATAGCAATAGAACAGCACCTTAATCACACAACTTACTGTAAAAAGAGCTCTCTATCCTCATGTTTCATGTTATATAATAAATTATATCAAGAGAGATAGTCCTGTAAAAAGAAAAGTATCATCAAAAGTCTTCTTTTTGAACTTTTGGCGTTAATTGGAATGTCTGCGGGTTGATGCCAGCAACTTCAAAGTTTAGGAGTAAAATTTACATTCTCTTCATATAAGTAAAAGTAAGAAGTTCTGTAGTGGGATTTCTGAGGTGTGATTGGAAGGTATCTTATATCACCCTGAAGATGGAACAGTTATACCAAGAACAGGTTAATATGACTAAATATTTAAATAACTGTTAAATCTCTTACCACAAAACCTGATGATGAGGTGAATCTCTAAGAAAGAGAATAAATTGAGACTGGGGCTGAATATTTTGCACTAGGGTCCTAAAAATGTCAAGGATATTTGAATGATATCTTCCTAAAATGAAGGCTGTCTGACATTATGGAAACAATAAGAGCCATAATTTCATCATTCTGTGCTGGTTGCACTTCCTTCCACTAAGCTATCAGGTCAAGGATCCAGATCAGACATGAATGATTACTGGAGAAACCATTAGTTTTCAGTTCAATTTTCACATTGTCTCTGTCCTGGTATTAGCTATTTGCCATGAGAAAGATAGGAGATTGGGGAGAGGTAAAGTTTTAGTATTTGCTTTAATCACAAAGAACCTAAAGTTCATTAAATATAAGGAGATTGCTTTTGTGGGTTATTTCAAGGACTTTGAGGCCCTTCTCACATTATTTTTCACCCTCTGATTCATAAGGGAAAGTTTCTTCAAATCACTGAGATATTCCCTATAATAAGCTGAAATTTTAAAAACATGAATCTATTGTGCATAAATTTAAAGCCCCTCCACTTCATGGCATGTTCTTCTGAAAGACCTGGAAAATATTCATTCCCGAATAAAAACTAAATCGAAAATGAGAGGGAGAATCGAAAAGGGTTCCGTAGAGACATGAGAGAGGGGATCTGGACCCAGAAAATGTATGCTTTTGTAAGGACTTTCTTAGCTTCACAGTTTGGATGCATAAAGATTTGGTGCAAATTTGATACAAATTTGGATACAAATTGACTCCATTTTCAGATGAAATAAAACCTGCTGATTCAATTCTAACTCAGTATAAAAATTTTGATTTGATATTCATTTTCAGCTCCCAAAAAGTTGTACAAGAGCCCTTATAAGTTGAATCTCTACCTTAGAAGCAGCCATATTTTACAGATCCAAATTAACTTTAGAATGCTTTCATTACTTTCATTTTAGGTAATTTTTAAATTTAGATATTTAAGTAATACATAGATTTGAGATGTTTGATTTGCTGAGCAATACCTTATATCAAATGCTTTGCCTTGAAATGATTATTTCGTTGGCAATAATCATGTATAAACTATGAATTGGGCGTTCCCCAATTTTATATACTTGAGAACCATTTAAAAGAGTCAAAGAGTCGGACACGACTGAGTGACTGAACTGAACTGATGCAGTTGAAAGGAAAGAGAAAGTTAATTTCTGAGCCCCAACTAAATATTTAAAGCAGGTACAACTAAACTTATTTTCCCCAGGAACTGAACTAACCAAAAAATTATTTTGTCATAATCACTAGTGTTGAAGCCATGTAATTAACTTTGGAAAAACACTAGAAAGTCATGATCTCCACTATTTTGAAAGGTATCCTCTGAAAAGAATCATTTTAGTGTAATTTTATTCTTTTTTGTTTTTATCTAGATGAAATCTTTTTGAATTATGACAGGAGATTAAAACTCTAAACTGTCTACTACGTTTACATTAACACTACAACCAAGACTCCTTTATCAGATTATAACAGTGGAAAGAGTAAGAGTTAGTGAGTGGGTCTTCAGGAAAATGAACTATTTCCTAAGGTCTGACAAGCAGCTTTCTTTTGTAGAGGATACAAAATTACAGTATGGTCTCCTTAAAAGTTCAATGATTCTTATGGTTGCGGCATTTTTAATATCCCTTTGGCATCTTTATGGATCAATTTTCTAAAGGGATAATTCGCTACTAAAAAATATCAGACTCTGACCATATTTAACACGCAGAACAATGCCTTTACTCACACACTTGTTAAAAGTTAATAAAGAAATAGTTCATTTTTAAAGCCAGGAGTTTATGGTCTCTGCATCATCAATTTAATTTAAGCATTGCTGAGACAATCTTTAATCTCCTCCCCATTTGGTAATACCTTATTTATGATGCATTTTCAGTTTTTAATTTGGGGGGAACGTTTGCCCGACAGAGCCAGCAGATGAAAGTGCCGAAAGGAGGTCAAATGGAAACAAAGCCTATTACCCACTGTATTTCAGACAGGACCAGGCACTTAGCCGAAGAGCCACTGGGTTATTAGATTGATTTCAAAAGAGCTTTTACAAGTTGCTTAATTCCATTTTTTTAAAAACCCATGGACCACAAACTCAAATTTCTCCTCAAATGGGGTTAATTTGACAAATGAGGCATGGACCCAGCGTTGTGGAAAAAGCATTCCACTATAATGAGATCTTGGTCTTTCTTGCAAGACTACACTATTTATGTAAATATGTCTAGAAGCACCTACTATAAGCTTTTAGTTTTCTATGATCTATTAGTTTAGTGTTTATTAAGGAATCATATGTATAGAATTACTAGGCATTCAGGAGGAATGCTGTGTAGCAAACGTAAAAATGATCTGTTCGGGAGAAACATAGGAGCGCTTTCAAACCACTGTACTATTTTGTGATTATTTTCCTTGCTTTGAAAGTAAACTGCGTAAG